GTGTATAAGAGACAGGATGTACGGTGTAATTAGCTGATGGGTTAATTGGCAGGTTAATTAACCATTGGAACAACTTGCTTGGAAAGATGGAGATTTTCCATCACTTGAGGGCTTTAATCGGGCTCGGAGAGTTGCTGAGAGCTGGGGTTTGGCACCGGGGAGGGGTCAGAGCCCCCCGTTTTTTGCTCAGCTTGTGGAGGACCCCGGCCGTGGAGCCCGAGGGTCCCTGTGGAACCATCAGCACCCACCCCGCCCTCCCACCAGCGCAGGAAACAAACCCTCAGCGGGGACGGCTCGTTTGTGCCAGGTTTGCAATTAGCGCTCGGGTGCGTGGTTAAATAAATCACCCAGAGAACAAAAAAAAAAAAAAAAAAAGATTAAAGGCGACTAATTAAGACGGGACATGGGGGTCCCATCCCCAGCCCTCCCCTGCGGAAAGCCCTTTGCTCTCTGCAGCGCGGCTCTCCACACTCTTCACTTCTCTCGGGAACTCATTTTGAGGCAATTTTGGAAAAAAAGCTGAGCCCTCTCCCCAGCCTTGCCCACAGCTGCCGGTGCTGGGGCAAGGGGTGTGTGTGTGTGTGTGTGTGTGTGTGTGTGTGTGTGTGTGGATTTTCCTTCCCCCCTCCCCGTTGTCAGCCCAGCGTGGAGCCCGCAGGCGCCGTGAAACCCCTGTTTGGTTCCGTGACATTAATTTTTACGATATCCCTGGAGCGGTTCCAAAGCAAAGTTTTATGTGATATGATTACACAAGGTGAATTGTCCTGGATCTGTTTAATGAAACAGATACTGTGTTTAATGATTCCTTGGGGAATTAAATACGGTTAAGCTATTAATCAGGCCTTGGTTTCTGGGGGAGGACAAGAGGAAGAGGCAGATACCCAGAGCTTTTATGCGTCACGGGATAGATGGATACGGCACTGCCGGGAGAGTTGTGGCTTATAACGGATGTTTCATTATCCCTTTTATCACCTGGTTTTTATGGGAGGATCGATTAGCAAGAAGGATAATTGAAAGATTTCAGCGGGGAGCGGCCCCGAGGTGGGGGATGTGGGAGGCCACGGCGGGGACACCCACTAACCTCTGCTCCTTCCAGAGTGGCCAGAGTTTGTGGCAAACTACGCGCCGTGGTGGGCTACCCACACCCTCGACTGGCTGCGCTACGGCAAGAAGGTGCTGGTGGTTCACTTCGAGGACCTGAAGCGGGACCTCTTCGTCCAGCTGCAGCGGATGGTGGGGCTGCTGGGCATCGCCGCCTGCGAGGACCGGCTGCTCTGCGTCGAGGGACAGAAGGACGGCAACTTCAAGCGATCCGGCTTGAGAAAATTGGAGTACGACCCCTACACCCCCGAGATGAGGAAGATGATCAGCGGCTACATCAGAACGGTGGACACGGCTCTGAAACTCCGAAATCTCTCGGGGGTGCCGGATGATTATTACCCGAGATGATGGTGACGAGGGCGGGGGGGCCTGACCCTGCGTGGCGAGGAAAGGCTCGGTCTTCCCAGCCTCTGCCTACTTCCACCCAGTGGGTGGCTTTTCTTTTTAAGTCTCCATCTGCTGCTATTAGCTGTTAATCAACTCCCTGCATGAGCAACGAACGGTCCCCAGCCATCGCTGAGCTTGCTTGGCCGACGCCGATGCGGACCCAGGCGCGGCGGCACCGCCGAGGGGATGCAGGGACCTTCCCCACCGCGGGATTCCTGCTCCATCCCGCTCCTCTTCGGGCTGCCGCAACCCTCCCTGGCAACGCAACGGGTTATTTGTGCCCATCCCCTGGGGGGACGCTGCGTTGCTTGTGCTGTGCCTGACACACACGCCCCGTCCCCCCTCCCCGGGCACCGCCGCGGTGCCGCAGGAGCTGAGCTCCCCCGGGGTGGGTGTCCCCAAATTTCTGTCGCTCCTTGGCCAGCTCTGGAAGGCTGCTGCCCGTCCCCGGATGGAGCCCATCGCCCTTCCCAAGGGAGGAGAGACCAAGGAGGGGGTTGGCACCACATGGGTGATGCTCCCGTGGATCCCAGTTGGAGTTTATGGAAATGGAGAAGGCTGCGCTGGGGAGAGCGCTGCGTCCCGGTGAGGTGGCTGTGTCCCCCCCGCACACCCTCCCTTGGTTTCTTGGGGACCCTCCCCGAGCCTGAGGACAGGGGGTGTCCCCAGGACAAGGCCGGTGTCCCCAGCCACAGCACCGGGCAGCGTTGCTGCTCTGTCCGTGCGGTCACTGCTCCAGCCCGGCTGCGCCGGGGAGGGGCCCGTGACCCCCACCCAAGGGGGGGCTGTGGGTGGGAGCCACCCCCATGCCTGTGGGTGATGCCTGAGAGGGCAGCGTTGGCCCTGGACAGAAGAGCTTACGGGACCCACAAGCTCGTCCGTGCCTCATTCCAAAAATTTACAAACCAGAAGAGCCCCCCCAGAAGCAGTTTTGGGGGCCACGAGCAGGGAACACGCTCCAGCCCAGCCGCATCAAACGCCCCCAGCAGCGGGGAGCAAATCCCGGGGCTGTTTTAGGTGTCCCTCCAGCCGAATCCAGTCCTGCGCCAGGCCCCCTCGCTTTGCCCGCGCCCTCGCCCGCTGCCTGTCAACGAGCAAGCGAAACCAAAGGATCTCCGTGCGCGTCGGGACGACGCCGTTCGCCGGGCTGGCTTTGTGCAGAGCTGCATGCGGTTCCCCAGCCGTCACCCCCCCATCCCTCCCCGTCCTGGCTTTGCCGCAAACAAGCTCCCACCCCTCCTTCCAACCTGCAAGTCCCCTTTGGATGTAGGTGCAAAAAGCCATAATATTGTACGCAGCCTTTTCTAGAGTTAGGTGTTCAATGATTGGCTTTTAACTCTTGATCTTGACAGAAACACATGCACAGGTCGAAATCTAGCGACACCGCTCAATCTATATTCAAAGAGAGAGAGAAGAAAACTCCTCGGAGAAAAAAGGAGAATTTAAATAAAATATATTTTTCTAACATGCGTGCGGAGCGGACACGGGCAACGATGCCAAGGCTGGGGGGCTCCCGGTCCCCGTTTCTTTGCACGGAGGTGGATGAATGTGTTTATAGGGAGCAGCTGCCCTGTTTTTAACTCTTCCCTTGACAAACGGCTGGAGGTTTTCTAGCAGAGCGGGTGAGCCCCGTCCCGGCAGTGGGGATCGAGCTGACCCCACGCTCCTTCGCTCACAGTGGCCCCGGGGCTGCCTACCTCGGTCAGAACAAATCCTCAGGTCAATCCAGCTATTAAAGGAGAGTTTTTGTTGCTATTCTGCCTCGCCGTGTGTTTGTGGGGCCACCCCAGCACCCGCCACCCATCCCAGACCAGGGGCTGGATGTTCCCCGGGGACGTGGGAGCGACCTCTGACTTTAATCCCATTAATGTATTCCTGCGGCTAAACCACCGACCACGCAACCAAAGCGGCTCCTTCTTGAGGGGTTTATTACCTTTGTAGTGCCCTTAAAGACAGGTTTATTCGGCTGCGGGGTGGGAGCGGGGAGATTTACTGCGGGCTTTATTCCCGTTGCCTCCCGTCCTTCCTCAGCTCCAGAGAACGAGCATGCTCGGTGCAATTTATTTCTTTTCTCTTGGCCGATCGCCTTCTTATCTGGAGTCGGTGAAATCCCTTTTTTTTTTTTTTTTTTTTTTAA